ATGTCATTAGACCACACCCCTTCTCATTACAGAGATGCACATCACCTAATATGCTTAATTGGTAGTAGGCTTTCGAGCCTATACAGCTTGGAGTAGGACAACATGCATGAAGAGGATGATGTGGACAAAATACTCATTTGCCTAATAATTCTGCACTCCCTGTAGCACAAACAATGACAAGGAGAGTGGACACAGAGGACAGTATAGATAACAACAACAATAACAACAATAACAATAACGGAAACACATCAATTATATTGCACAAAACCCAGTATTGTACATTCCCTGACCATCGTGATATTGCGTTCACCCATTGCACTAACAGTTGTTTCCCTTTTTGTAATACACTAACTCTTTTTCCCGTCCAATATAAAACATGATTATTAAACATGATCACATGTCTGTGTGTCCCTCAGCCGCCCTTTTAAGTGGCTCTTAAAGATGGGGAGACTTGTACTTTCCCTCACTGACAGTGGAAGACTATTCCAGAAGCTCACTCCCTGATATGACAAAGCATTCTGTGAAAAGGTGGTCCGCCTGAATGCTAGTTCACAATCACCTCTAACAGTGGCTCGAGTCAGTTGAGACCCGGCAACACTGGTAGACTTTTGTTTAATAAAATCACTCATTGGTGGAGGCGCCAGACCATGTATAACTTTGTATATTAGACAGGCAGATTTAAATAATTTGAAATTAGTAAAATTTAAAAACTTGTATTTTTCTAAAATTTGACAATGGTGACATGAAAAAGGTTTTTTATCTAATATTTTCAATGCTCTTTTGTAGCATACTTCAATTGTCCCAATAGCAGCAGAGCTCGTATAGGACCAACTTGTAATACAATATTCAATATGAACCAGTATCATTGAGTGCAGGAATGTAATCGCTGCTGTGTCTGTTAATGATGTGCAGATATGTCTAAAGTTCTGTATATTAACATTTACAGTTTTCACTACTTTTTCAATGTGTTTTTTAAAGGATAATTTAGTCTAGTAGCACTCCCAAATACTTAAATTCCTCAACATTAATTAATTCTTGTGCACCCAAGCAAACTTTTACTGCAGCCACGGTTGTTTTAGGTTTACTAAAAAACATTGATACGGCCTTTTTAAAATTAAGGCACAAGCATGAGTCATTCAGCCATTTTTGTAAATCATGTAATGCCAGTGAAAGCTGATGGGCTGCATCATCAGCAGTTTTGGCTTGCGTAAAAATTACCGTATCATCCGCATACGTATCGGATGTGTCCATATTTTTGCACACATTAGGCAAGTCATTTACATAAAGTGAAAATAACAGGGGCCTAGAATTGAACCCTGGGGGACACCTTGCGTACAGTAAAGATAGGGTGACTTGCTATTCTTTATTTGCACGCATTGTTTTCTATCTGATAGATAAGACTGTATCCATTTAACAGTGTGATTACTAAAGTTAAATGTCGACAGTCTAGACAAGAGCTATTATATCATAACACAAGTGTCCTAGAAGTTCCTTGCTTCAGACTGTGTAAATATGTCTCTATCTGCCACCCCACAGTCATATAACACATCACAAATAAAGATCTGTTGGCGCAAGGCCTGAAGTTAACCAGTCAGAGGTGTTTCACAATGGATGATGAGAATTTATCTTTTTCAGACTCATCATTTTATTTGACAAAGCAGATTTGATTTATAGGGACAAAATCAAAAAGGGTGAGGCGTGGAGTTTAATGCACAGGTTCTAGGAGTGGAAGGTAAGTAAACTAGTAATTAGCTGCAGCAGAAATACCTGATTTTGCCCGACTTATTGAATTCGACTTGTACAGTCAAGTATTTGTAAAGACAAAAACGCTCGGCTCACATACCGGATAATCCCAGTTTGGTATAAGGGTGTGTGGCGAATGAAGTAAAACTGTGTTACAGTCACAGGCTTATCCTCTGTGGTCAATTTTAATTGTGTCTTTAAAAGATGTTTTTTTATTTTTTATTACTATCATTAGTTTTCATAAAGGTTTTTCAAGCAAAAAGTTGACAAATAATTAAGTGCAAATGTTTTTTTAGGTGGGGAGATTTTTGATTTGTGCATACTTTTATGTGTTTAAAGACATGATTTTATCTGCTTTATTACACCATTAGTGTTACCACTTTATTATTAATCAGCTGTAGCAAGAGATGAGAGGCAGTGTATGATCAGCTTAATGAAGTAGAAATAATATCACTAATTTGTGCAGGTACTAAGATACCCTCTTTATCTTTCAGAGGGTTCCCTTCACTCAAATGACAGTGTGTCAGACTCCAGTCCACCTCCAGCTGTGGTGCAGACTGGAGTCCCCACACAAGTTGTTCAGCAGGTGCAGACAGCTCAGCAGGTAAAATTTGCACACATACATGGTTATGTCCGTCTATGTTATGTTATGTTGTTTTCTTTGCTCTTGAATCTTCTCTTCATCTCAATAGAGGTCAGTGGTGCAGGCCACCTCCCAGATTGCCAAAACTGAGCCAGGCACACAGCTCAGCGTCACCAGTCTACAGCCTGTCCACATCACCCAGGAGGTAAGCCAAACTCCCAGTGGAGTTTGTCAGTGGTGATGGCATATACGTGATGTCTGAAAATAACTTATGCTTTCACTAACCAGTGTGTAAATGCGAGCTAGTCATCACAGCTTCACTTCACTAAATGTGTGATCAATGTGACTTGTGATGCGTACAAAACTTTGCAACTTCCTTGTGTTTTGGCTCAGTATTAGTCAGCTCATCGTTTCTGTGGTCAAATCTGCAACTTTTCAGCTTCCCCTTAGCACGGAGGTGACCGGTTTAGTCAGGGATAGGAAACTAGAAGATTGGCAGCTGCGTCATGAGGCAGAGGAGTCAGTCTGCCTTGCCTGGATGTCAGCAGACTGCGTAAACGGCTACTGCTGCAAACCCGTCTACCTCCCCTTGGATGAGTATTGGCAGTCACTGTGCATGCTCTCTGTGCATGCTGAGAGAGAGATAGGCTACCCTGCCATCCTCAGCTCAGGTCCCAATCAGCCACCTCTGCACACAGCAACCGCCGCTTTCCAAGTAGGTCAGGGACACGAGGGAATCTGCTGCTACAAAGATGAGTGGACAGAGAAGCTGTCAGTATAAGAAATGTTTGTAGTGCAAAAACAAGGCCGGACATGAAAGATATTAAGTTTCTAAAGGATGAAAGAGTTGATGTGGTTCAACAAGATGGCTGAGGATTTATTGGATTTTGGTGTGTGTGTGTGTCTGTGTGTGTTCGCGCTCACTCCTTAGGTCCAGCAGCAGCTCACATCAGTGCCAGTGCAACATGTGTACACCAATCAAGTGCAGTATGTTGAAGGAGAAGACAACAACTACACCACCAGCACCATGTTAGAATGAACCTCATTTTCTAACACTTGTCCACACAGAGTTATTGTTTTCTTTGTCTTACTTCTTTCTTCGGCTGCTTGGTTTTGTAACCCATCTTTGCATGTCTCTCATCCAGTCGCTCTGGCACCTTCCCTTACACCGACACCCCTTTGTACACCCAGACCACCGCCGCTCCATATTACGAAGGTCAGCCGACTTCCGGCACCCAGGCCTCCACGCCCGGCACACCTCTGACTGTGTCCGTGACAGCCGGCACCACAGCGGGCGTCTCGATGTTCGTGGCCCAGCCTACCACCGCGGCGGGGGGAGGGGCCACAGTGGTGACGGCAGGCGGCACGACCAACGGGGCCGGAGAAGGGGCAGGGACCAACGGCGGCGCGGCAGGCAGTTATGTGATCCAGGGGGGTTACATGCTGGGCAGCGGCGGCAGCAGCAGCAGCAGCGGGTCGGCAGCTGGCAACAGTCAGAACTACTCACACACTGCCCGCGCCTCTCCGGCCACTGTGAGTATTACAGAGGGCGAGGAGAGTAGCGTGCCGTCGGCAGACAAGAAGGTATGCAGAGGCGCCAAGCGCAGGAATTTCTTCTCGTTCTGTTCTCATCCACACAACCCCCCCTTTTGGTGGCGCACACTGATGACGTCATAGTTTGAGTTTTGTCAAAGTGGAAAACACAAGTGAACAATTTGGAGATTAGGAGCAAAAAATGTTAGCTGAAATTTTATTTATTTATTTATTTTGCTTTAACTGTGATTTCCTCAAAGAAAACAAAACCATGACCTCATCATTTTCATACCATTGCAGTGCATGTAATGAGGGGCATTTTTAATTTGCCTGAAATGCCTTGACACTATACTGTTCATCCCAAATTCATCATATTGAACCCCCATACAATGGCCATAACCAAAACATGTCTGGCCGGCATCCCATCAGTACTCCAGGTCATTGATTCATTGCATACCAAAGTTGTATGCCACGGCACGCAAACAGATGTATTTGTGTTTTCATTCCTGAATGACAGACGGACTGTAAATACGAATGGATTTGCGTTTGTATAATACAAATACTAGAGAAAGTTATGTGTGTGTGTGTGTGTGTGTGTGTGTGTGTGTGTGTGCGTTTGTGTGCATGTCATGTACATGTATCTGTTCAAAGGTGTGATATGTGTGGTAATAGTTGTGCATTTATGTTTTTCTGTATATCTGTATATACTGGCTTTGCTAACTGCACCAGCTATTTTCTTTGTTCCATTGCCTGTGTGTCAGGTACAGTGGTTGCTGGACAACTATGAGACAGCTGAAGGAGTGAGTCTGCCCCGTTCCACCCTTTACTGCCATTACTTGCTGCACTGCCAGGAGCAGAAGCTAGAACCTGTTAATGCTGCGTCATTCGGGAAACTCATACGATCTGTGTTCATGGGGCTACGCACACGGCGTCTGGGCACTCGGTAAGCTGTGTAGTCACCCAAACTCATAGGGTAAAAAATATATATGCAACCCATTTATATCCATTAGTAAAGAGAGAGGTGAAGAAGACAGGACAGACAGGGTCGAGTGGGTGGAGACAAATGTTAAAGGTTTGTGAAGGAAAATGTTTACAAGTTGGTAGAGGGAACTTCTATGATTTATGGCTTTGAGATGGTGATGCTGACAAAAAGACAGGAGGCAGAGTTGCTAGGATTTTCATTGATAGTGACCAAGAGGGACAACTTAAGTTGAGTGGTTTTGAAAGTTAGAAAGTCAAGGCTAAGATGGTCTGAACATCTGCAGAGGACGGATAGTGAATATATTGAACAAAAGATGTTGAAGATGGAGCTGCCAGGCAGGAGGAGAAGAGGAAGACCACAGAGGAGAGATCAGACAAACACATCACACATTCCACTGTGGCCTTTTCTGCTGCAGTGATGCATGTCAGGAGCACAAACCCAGTAGTCCTCCGTTCATTTCACCAGACACCAGTAGTCTCCATGTAACTGACGTGCGTAATGCTATGCATGCACACACCAATCAGGCATAAGATTTGACTACTGACAGGTAAAGTGAAATCACTGATTGTCTCTTCACCGTGGCACCTGTTAGTGGGTGGGATATATCAGGAAGCAAGTGAACATTTTGTCTTCAAAGTTGATGTGCTAAAAGCAAGAAGCAAAAGCATTTCTCTGAGTTTGAAAGGGCCAAACTGTAATGGCTAGAAAACTGGGTTGGAGCTGGGTTGTTATCAGTCTCCAATGGTAAGCATCTATCAAAAGTGGTCCAAGGAAGGAACAATAGTGAACCACTATTATGATGAGAGTATCATGGGCGGCCGAGGCTGATCCTTGTGGTTCGATGCAGCCACGGTACCGTTCCTGTAGCTTAATCCTGGTTCTGATGGAAAGGTGTCAGAATGCACTGTGCAACACAGCTCGTTGTGTGTGGGGCTGCATAGCCACAGTACACCCTCTCATGGAAACAGTACTCCCTGATGGCTGTGGACTCTTTCAGCAGAATAACGTGCTCTGGTTGGTTTGAGGTTTGAGGAGCACAGCAACAATTTTGAGGTGTTGACTTGGCCTCCCAATTCCCAAGAATTTGGATTGTGCTAGTTAAACAAGTGCGATGCATGGAGGCCGCACCTCGCAACTTACAGGACTTAAAGGATCTGTTGCTAACCTCTTGGTGCCAAATACCACAGCACACCCTCAGGGCTCTAGTGGAGCCCAAGCCTCGACATATCAGGGCTGTTTCAGCAGAAAAAGGGGGACCAACACAATATTAGGCAGGTGGTCATATGTTATGCTTGATTGGTGTACCTTAAATTAGTTTCCAGCAGAAATGCAGTTTTTTTTGTGTTGTTTTGTTTAAATTTTTCTAGGAACATCTATAAAGCTCTCTGGAGCATTGGGAAATGTTTGCCTTGTGTAGGAAGACATGTGGGTAGTGATGAAGACAGACAGCATGTGTGTGGGAGAGTGAGTGAGCTAGTGAAATGACTTTTTAAAAGTATTTAGTGCTATGGGTGCAAATACTTTGTGTTTTATGAAATTCTAATTCAGTGTATAGTAAGACTATACATGTGGCTTGTATGGAGTTAACATACATTTAAACAGACAGCATAAACACTATGCTCTCTATAGAGTTAGGCTCTTTTAAAAATAAAAGTCAAACCACATTTGTCTTCCTGTTAGGGGTAATTCTAAATACCACTATTATGGGCTGAGAATCAAAGCGGGCTCTTCTCTTCTCCGGCTGATGGAAGACCAACAACACCTGGCTATGAGGCAACAGCCGTTCTCACAGAAACAGAGGTATCCACAGAAATGTCTACACATTCAAGCGCATCTTCTCTATCATTACACAGTTGACCTTTTTTCTACCTCATACGGTTTTTGCCACCGGCTCCTGTTTTTTCTCCATCTCTCACACCATGTCTTCCATTCTTCTCGCGGCTCTGGGCATTTGCTGCTCTTATTATAAGACTGAATTACAATTTCATTTCACTTCATTATTTATCACCTTTGTCTAGACATGAATGCCTGATGTGCTTTTTCGCTCCCTACCTATCAGGTTGAAGCCTGTTCATAAGGTGGAAGGAATGACCAATGGAACGGCAGCAGGAGCAGGTCAGCAGCAGCAACAGCAGCAGGGATCGGGCCACGTGGATATCAGCACCCAGGTTCAGCAGTACCAACAGTTCCTTGGTGAGCTTAGTAAACAATGAACACACTTGTTAGTGAGTGCTGCTTTTTTTTTTTTTTTTAAATGTTAATTTGGTTGAGTCACAAGAGTGAGCAAGCAAAATATTCTTGTAAGCTCTCAGGGCTTGTTGTGAGGACCTTGCATTACATTATGTGGTTGCTTAGAGTGCATGGGCTGTGCCTGACACAGCACCAGTCTTTGAACTTGCTTTTCCCTGTGAAGTAAATTGTTAATTTGGCCTGACAAAGTGTGTCTCCTCATCTTTAGGTTTTAGGCTTTTTGGGAAGCCTTCATTTTTATTAGCAGCAAGGACCTCCATGCCCTGTTAACGGACTGTCAAATCCAGTAACAGAATCTGCTGTAACAGTTTATTACAAGTATATAAGGCATGGTTTCCTATTTATGTAAGCATATAGCACACAGGCCTATACTTATGCTGCTGTGTTTACTTGAATTGCGTAGTTCCTTTGTTTGATAGCATGATGGGATTTTTACACCTGATATATGTTTAACATTTCTATATGCTGCTGTGCTGGCGGTGCAGTGGTTAACACTCAGAGCCTCACAGCAAGGAGGTTCAATTTCATCACCAGGACAGGATCTTCCTGTGTGGAGTTTGCAGGTTGTCCCCGTGTTTGTCTAAATTGCCCATAGGTGTGAACGTGAGTGCAAATGGTTGTCTATGTCTATGCCTATGTGTTAGCCCTGCAACACACGAGCAACCTGTCCAGGGTGTACTCCACCTCTTGCCCTAAGACAGCTGGAATAGCCCCCCCCCCCCCGGCCCCCTTTCAACCCTGAATTGGATAAGCAGAAGAGAATGGATGGATGGCTATTTCTATATGTGTAAGGCAGGATGGTAGTTAGCACTGTTGCCTCACAGCAAAAAGGTCCTGGGTTTGAATCTAGCATATTTGGTTGTGGCCTTTCTTTGTGGAGTCTGAATGTTCTCCCCGTGTTTGCATGGGTTCTCTCTGGCTTCCTCCCACAGTCCAAACACATGCAGTTAGAGGGGCTGGGTTAACTGGTGATTCTAAATTAGCCATAGGTGTGAATGTGAGTTTAAATGGTTGTGTCTTTGTGTGTTTGCCCTGTGACATACTGGCAATATGTCCAGGTTTGTTCGAGACCTACCTACTTATCCAATTCAGGGTCTTGAATTGGATAAGCAGATGGAAATGGATGGACGGATTATATGTTTTTAATCTGAACATAATGTAAAAAGACAATCTCATTACCAACATTTAAATGCCACATCCCTCCTACTATGAGCTAAACCACAACAGGCATGTCCATCTAAGCACATTTAGTGGCATTCACATAAATGTTGATTACTCTGTGCAGTTAATGGGATTTCTCTCTTAGTATCCACTGCTCCTTTGTCCTGTGTCCAGATGCATCCAGAGCTCTCCCAGAGTTCCCAGAGATCGATCTCCAGGGGAAGTCTCTGCCAGAGGGCATTGAGCTGGAGCACATAAAGAGCTTTCAGCTGCTGTACAGAGAACATTGTGAGGTAACCGAAATTGGAACCCACTGACTATTTACTGAAGTTTTTCCTTTGTGTGTAGTTCCTTTCTGTGAATCACTGGAGGACTACTCTAAATGAAATTACACCAATTATAACCTTTTAGTGGGAAAAACCGACTGTAATTTGATCAAAATGTCAAGTTCTTATAGATGTAGTGGTGAAGATGAGTTTTAAGGTTAGGAAGACCACGTTGAAAGCAAAATCCAGAAATGCAGAATGTTGTTTTCCTCTCCTTTGTTCATTCAGTTGCCCCACTACCCCCACCCCAATAATCTATTTGTCCTCAGTCTTCGATTCTTCGATGTATGGATTATTTTCTTTCTGTTCTTTCAGGCTATTCTCGATGTGATGGTTAACCTGCAGTTTACCCTAGTGGAGACTCTGTGGAAGACCTTCTGGAGGTTCAGCCAAAGTCAGGCCGGAGATGCCACGTTGGCCGTGTGAGTGATTGTACTCCACAGGCAGGCGTTCATTCAAGATCCAGATTGTGTCCTAAGATAGTAAAAACATTTGTCTGTTGCCGTAGCATTACTATTTCCATACAAACTGTGTGTGCGTGTGTGTGCGCCTCGGCAGTCACGATGAGTCAGAGAAGCGTCTCCCTAAGTCCTGCCTGGTGTTGCTGTGCAAATATGAGCCAGTGCTGCGCTGGAGCCGCGACTGTGACAACAGCCTCTACCAGGGCCTGGTGGAAATCCTCATCCCTGATGTCCTCAGACCCATCCCCAGTAAGGCTCTATAGGAAGACTGATTATGTAGTGAACCATGTAAGCATGCTTATCCGTGCCTACAGAGTGTGTTTATACAAATAAAGAGCTATTCCTAAAACTCAGTGCCAATTTAAAGTTGTTGAAATGAGCCAACTAGGGAGCAAAGATCCTCCTGACAGCCTTTTGGATGTGTAGTGAAAGAATACACTGTTTTCCATCACGTGTACCCATTGCGCTGCCCTTACTGGCAGCTACACTTATTTCTTCTGGTTTCGGTTATAGTTTTAGTCAGAGTTTAACTTTTAAGACCTTGAACAGTTCCCTTTTGAATATTCGTCATTTTCTTTCCCATCACAATGCTGCCAGAGAAAAAAATGTTCCACATCCACATAAAGTGGATACAAGTCTGGTTATTCAGCTGTAATGCCAAAAAGAAAATAAATAAAAATTGAAAAATCTTTGACCAGCAGAACCTTGGCTAATTGTCTAGACATTAGATAATCGTTTTCCCACTCTAGCAGTGACAGACCCATTTCTGCCCACAGGTGCCTTAACTCAAGCCATTCGCAACTTTGCCAAGAGCCTGGAGAGCTGGCTGACCAATGCCATGATGAACATCCCTGAGGAAATGGTCCGCATCAAGGTAAAGCCCTCCATTATTAGCTTGGCGCTGATGGAACCGCTTGTTTTCTGAGCCATGGAGCAAACAGTCTTTTCAGGCATGACAAAAACATCGTCTTATTGTGTGGGACTCTAAGCTCAGACATTATTAGATTTTTGTGAGCAGGAGCTAGAGTTGAATTTATATAAAAGCTCTGCGGTGCAGCTTTTGTGAAGAAGGGAAAAAAGAGGTTCCATCAAAGTAAATAAATGACAGCAGATGTGAGCAGCTATCACAGAAAACATCTGTTATATACGGATATTTGTGAAAATATTGATATGCATCTTTTTCTGACCCGTCGTCTTCCTCCTCTCTCAGGTCACATCAGCCAATGCTTTTGCTCAGACCCTGCGCCGCTACACCAGTCTGAACCACCTGGCCCAGGCAGCCCGTGCTGTCCTCCAGAACACGGCTCAGATCAATCAGATGCTGTCCGACCTCAACCGCGTCGACTTTGCCAACGTCCAGGTCGGTTCAGTGTCTAGCAGCATTCTCATTAAATCGCGCTGATGACATTGTCAGTGGTTGAATGCCGCTTTGGTTTTGCAGCTGACTCTGTAGCTTGTGGTTACACTGAGGTTTCATGTGTTATTTGTTTATCCAACTTCCGTCATAGTGTCTCTTTTTTATTTTACTGTTCAGGAAGCTCACTTGGTTTTTCTAAGAAACTGCTTCTTCCGCCTGATTATATGTTCAGATACTGAACAGTAAACTTAGTGCTAGTGCGTGGTTTAAGCTCCATCATCTGCTGCTATTTATAAATATAAGGTCATCCAGCCTCTTTTACTGGTGCAGATGTGACTGCCCTATAATGACACTTTGCCTTTTTCTCCCTGTTTGTGCTTTTGTAGGAGCAGGCTTCATGGGTGTGCCGGTGCGAAGACCGTGTGGTCCAGCGGCTCGAGCAGGACTTCAAGCTGACCCTCCAGCAGCAGAACTCACTGGAGCAGTGGGCCGCGTGGCTCGACGGTGTGGTCTCCCAGGTCCTAAAGCCCTACCAACAGAGCCCTGCTTTCCCTAAAGCTGCCAAGCTCTTTCTGCTCAAGTGGTCCTTTTACAGGTGGGGAGCAGTCAGAAAGAATGAATTCCAAGTTCTGCCTCTCCTGACCTTTCCCGAGTCCATTTTTATTTGTGTTGATAGATTTGATTTGGTTGGATCTTTATTCTCCTCTTTTGAGCTAAATGTCTGGTAAAAATGATGAAGGAGGAGTGTACGAGTGCACAATAGCCAGTAATTTAGAGCTGAAGTATACAGGGCTAAAATGGCCTTTGTCAGTTTGCATTATTTTTTGTGATGTTGTATTCAGTTTGAGCTGCAGGCTTTAGTCCTGAAGTTAAAACAAACCTAGTCTGTACTTTGTTAAGTCATTGCTAACTGTAATAATCACAAGATAATCATCAGAACTGTCCAAATCTTAAATGACTGGATTTTTTTAAATTAACAAAACAAGAGAGCAGTTTAAAAAGTGATAACCAAGACAAGGACATAGAATACTTACAATAACAACACAAACTAGAAAACAATCACTAGGATAGTAGAGATAAAAGGATGAGTGTACTACTCATTATAACCATATTCCTAAATAAATGCTAAAAGTAACAGTAACAATAATCCTCATCCACCTCTATGCTGTAATCGTAAGTATGCATCCATATACCTTCCTATGCACATATGCCATAGTGATAAAAAAAAAAAAGCAAGGATATGCATATATATATATGTGTGTGTGTGTATGTGTGTGTGTGTGCACAGGACCCTCAAGCTCCTAGGCCTCTGGTAGAGACATGAGCTTGAAGGATAAAGATAAAGAAGGATAAAGGGCGAGTGGGGAATTTAATTTATTTATTTATATAAATATATATAAAACCAAGCTCATCCCATAAGCAGGGTCTTAGTCAAGCAGGTCATTACAAGTCAGTTGCCATTCATTTGCCTCCTTTGGAGACTGGATGGAAATCCGAAGGCTCTGAATCGCTCTCAGACCTGTCTGGAATAAATAGCAGAGCTGAAATTTAAAATCCAAACCACCCCACATCACACAGCTTTATTGAAGGAACTTATCAAATACTCAAATTGAGTAAATAAGTCACCGACTCGACTCGTGGTTCGTGGTGTCAACCTTGTCCCAGTAAAGCAATGAGATAGAGGAAAAAAGCAGTTTCTGTTTGTAAGTTAGAGAAGTGGTACATGTGTGAAGAGTGGCTTGTTTCCCATTTCTGTTCCTCAGTTCCATGGTAATCAGAGACCTCACCCTGCGGAGTGCCGCCAGCTTCGGATCCTTTCACCTGATTCGTCTGCTATACGACGAGTACATGTACTACCTTATCGAGCACAGAGTGGCCCAGGCTAAAGGAGAGACCCCCATTGCTGTTATGGGAGAGGTATCAACATACACGGATCCAGAAATGCAAATACATTCATATAATAGTGTAAGCCACATTTACACCACTAACCAAATCCCCTCTTGACATTAGTTTGCCAGCTTAGGCCGAGGTCTGAACCAGCTGGATCCGGATAAAGGTCTGCACTGATTCTGCTGTAGCTCGTCTTAACTGACACCTGTGCTCTAAGCTTTGCTGGTAACCATCTCTGTTATGCTGTCTGTTGTAGAAGAGGAAGAAGAAGAGGAGGAGGAGAGTGATGAAGAAGGTCAGGAGCTGTCCCTTCCCTCAGACGGGGCCGTGCTCGGAGAGGAGTCTCTGGAGCCGCCTGCCAAGCTGGCCAGAACTGACCAGAGAGTTCTCTTCGCCACCGGGTCAGCTGACAACTAGCCGCAGTGTAAATGACGTGCTGATCTCACAGACACACACGCCGATGTACAAAGAACAGTAATTTATACCCCCTGACACCTGTATATAGAGCTTGTTGAGGTGCGCCCGCGTGCACTCTCGCTGCATATGGTTCTGTTTGCGTGCAGTCCTCAGGCACACACAATCAAAACACACTCAAGTCAGTAACTGCTGCTGCCCGGATGGCACAACCACCTGTCGCCACCATTGATTACTCCCACAGTCAGTGGCGTTTTGTAACAGGACGTGGCTTCAGAAACCCGGGGTCTCTTGATGCAGAGAGGACCTTCAGTTGTATGAATCTGTAAAAACAAAACAAACTAAAGCCAGGCACTTCTTTTCGTTTATCTCCTCATCGCGCCGCAGCCTCGCTGTTTTTCCCTCTCATTGCTGTAAAACGAATGCTCGCCCTCCCACCGCTGTCACTGCCGTATCAAAGTGGTCTTTAAAAGGTACTGCGGGGTGTGTGTGTGTTTGTGTGCGGAGCGGACCGTAAGCGGTGTTTGAATTTAGTCACTACTTCATTTACCGCTTTGTGGGAGCGTAGGGTTTTTTGTTGTTGTTGCTTTTTCTTTTTTTTTTTAAAGACAGCAGGCGACTTTTTTGTGTGTGTCAGCTTGTACGAGCACTGTGGTCACACCGCTCTGCTGTTATTTGTAGAGGCCGAGTGAACACGCGTTTTTACCCGGTCGTGCGCGTCTGTTTGCGTGACTCATGCCGAGTGGTGACTGTTGTGTAGATATTTTCTAGAGCATTCATGGTTTGATTTTTTTTTTTTTGATGGCGTGTGCAGATTTCCTGTGTGATTCACCTGTTAAAAGACAAAAAAGAAAAAAGAGAAGCTCTCGTGTTCTCGGAGTGCCTACCTCAGCTGCCACAAACACTTGTAAAGATGAAGCTCCAGCTGTGAAGTAGGAACTCCTGTTAGTTGCTGCAAGAAAAAAATTCTCTTTTTTTCCTTTTTTTTTTAAAACAAGAACATCTGGTTCTTGTTTTAAGAGAGAGAGAAGTGCCGTACGTGTACCATAGTTTATGTTTAAGTGCTTCAATCCTATCCACCCATTAAGTTCCTCTGTGCCCTCATTTGCCCTCGACTCGTTATGTTTTTGCCTTATTTCATTCTGTTTCTGTTTTTTTCCCCCACATTTGTGTGTTTCTGGGTGCCAAACCGGTTTGCTTTGATCCTCGCTGATTTTTCTTTCTTTCTTATGTTTTTTTAAGAACTGTGCCTGAGTAAGAACGGTGATATACTTATATTCTACTGTATATTTATCCACTATTTTGAATTTCGTTGTCACTAAGTGAACCTCTTGTGCAGTGTACGGTGCTGTGTTGTCACACATTGTAAGCGACCCTCGTGTGCATTATTGATTTGTGATTGTACGTTCGGTTATCGATCCTCTTTCATATCTGATGACTTTTCCACTCACAGGCTAAGTAAGGCCCTGCCTCTTTGCACATGTTGACTTTATTGTCTAAAAGTTTTTTTGTTTGTTTTTTCCCCCCCCTCACTTTCTTCGAGGTGTTTTTTTTTTTTTTTTAAATGGTGAGATGGAGGCGTCAGATTTCATGCAAATGTCTCTCACCCCTCGGTGAGATTCAGAGAAATCGACCGAGGTGAGAGATCTGCTCAGTCCTCCACCACCGCTCATCTCATTCCCCTCGTCTCACTGTGTTTTTTTTCTCACTCTCATGCCCGATGGCTTTGTTTTGCTTCTAAAACACTGTTCATGGAGATCAGTTGTCATATTCCTTTTTCATTTCTGTCAATACTGTCTATAAATAGCGGTGCGTGTTTTTTCACAGGCATTGCCAGCCTCAAACCAGCACATCATCCTTTATACGAAGTCTAGCGCTACCACAGCTGAGTACATATCACTCCAGTCTTTTAATGATCTACAGCGTGCAGAATGGCCATTGTTTACCCACTAAAAAAGGAAAAAAATGTTCGTCATTTTTATAGTGCGTTGTTTCTTATGTACAAAACAAAATGAGAAAAAAAAAGATGTTCAGTGGCAGTGTTTTTTGAATTTTGGTCTGCTCTAAGTATGACTGTGCCTTTGGAGGTGGTAGAATGCAATTCAGATGTTTTTAATTTTAAAGATATAAATTAAAGAATTTTTAAAATTACTCCGGATATCTCTCGTGGATTTCTGAGTCTGATTTCTGAGTCAGTGTAAGGGCGGGGTTACTGTCTGAAAAACAGTCACTTTCTTATTAAATTTGACACCCTTGGCTGAAAAAAAAAAAAACAAGACCGTGACTTCCTGGGCCACGCTCACACGAACACACTCGTCTGCTACCACTTCTGCTGCTGTATAAATAAGACACTGGAACAGGAAACGCAGAATACCTGAAACTCAAAAGTCAGCCTGCTTTAAGCAGAGCAGAAACGGATCAATTGTGCTGGCAACTTTTGACAGCTGGTAACCCGAGCGTGTTCACTGAGAACAGCAGAGGTGGAAGAATCAGAGGTACAGAGCAGAGAAAGATGTTATTGGTGCAGTGTTTCTGCATGTGCGAGGTCCCATGGTACACACAGGATTTTAAAGTTTTGCAATAAATAGCTGAGCAATATTCAGATAAAAGCAGAAAAGCGCAAGTAAATGACTGCAAAGTGTCATAAAGTGTCAAAGTACCATGAGGGGCCACACCTAATGAGGCTCAGAGACACACAAACATGTCATTTATGTCAAGAGACCCTCCTTTACGTATCACGTCAGGTAAGCTAACAGTGACCCCTAGTGGTGTTTTCCCTCAAGTACTCTTTTATGGCTGGCAACAGCAGAGCATGTATTATATACTCTGCAGCCACTTCATTAGTTACTGGTTTGGAGCCACTATTGCTTTTTAAGCTGCCTTAATTCAACAAGGTGCTATAAACATTCCTCGCAGATGTTGGTCCATACTGACATGATAGCATCACACAGTTGCTGAAAATTTGTCAGCTGTACATCCATGAATGAAATCATCCGTTTCACCACATCCTAAAGATGTTCTAATGCACTAAGATCTGGTGACTGTGGAAGCTATTAAAGTATAGTGAACTCATTGTAATGCTCAAGAAATGTTCTCATTCTCTAGAGATGTCTGTGTGGGGACAAGCTGAACAGATCAAAGTTCATAGTCACTTGAATCACCTTTTTCTCTGTTCTGATGCTCATTTTGAACTTCAGCAGGTATTTTTGGCCACATCTAGATGCCTAAATATGTTGGGTTGCATGCATGCGATTGGCTGATTAGATATGTGTTAACAAGAAGTTAAACAGGTGTACCTAATGAGTGCATTTGGTCCAAAAGCGACACAGACACGATATTCATGATTTCAAAGTAGCTGATATATTTATTTCAGATCAGTGCTGCTGGTGGTCGTCTGTTTATAACAATCTCAACACAATATCAACCCAAAGGCAAGACTCGCAGCTGCCATTCAGAATACAAGAATCATACCTGATACATCTCTGGAAGTGAAAACCAGCAGCTTTATATTGCTGAATATACAGTTTGTGTATATACAATATATGTTAAAGCAGGACACACTTGGAAGACTAAAGTTCAAACTTTTGCACACAAACAATGACCGTGGAAAGACAATTAAGAAAAAAAAAAAGGCAGCGTTTGTAAAAAAGCTTTACAAAATAAAGGAAGACAACATGCAACCTGGAGTCTGCACAAACGGCAATGAACTGAGGGATAAATTGCTGTAGGAGAACTCAGCAGTACAATCTACACAAGAATATAACTACACTTCAAAGTCTCCATATGCCGCCATTCTGAGGTGTGCTGAAAGCCCTTCTGAACTTTCCAAATGATAAGAAATAACGATGATTACTCACAGAAAGCTGGCCAAATCTGAAAAGCTATCCCCCACCCAGCCCCATCTTTCCAGTTTAGCCTTTAGTCCACAGTAAGCCGGCCTTTTCTTCTAACCCAAAACTAAAGCGGTCAGGTGGAACAAACAGTTCACGAGATGGGACGTTTCAAGAGGCAAAAAGGTGTTGAGCGGTGCGATTTAAAATGAACAGAGGCAATTAATACATTATTCACATTCGTGCTTCTGAACCTTGCAGCTCGGGGCTTCTTTTCACAATCTGACTGCATAAATCTAACCTGCGCACAGTCACCCAGATATACACGTGTTGAAACACCCTGCAAGCCTCTGCAGAGGAAGCAAAAAACCAATATGAGAAAATCAAATGAGGCATGTCTCCTCCTGTGTCTCACACACACACACACACGAACACATAACATGATTATAGTCCTAAAACCTCTGTGCAAGTCAGTTTATACAACACTGGGATATGAAGGTGAGTACTTTAAAATGGGGCTAAGGGATGACTGAGATGTGCTGAAAACTCTGTTAATGAAATAACCGCTCCGGGGCTCCCGTGAGTATTTAAATCTACGCTCAGGCAGCTCTGAGTAGCTCAGTGAAATGATCGCATTTAATCAGTCTTTTCCCTCCCGTCAGCAGCGAAGCACAGGAGCATCGGGTTCAGTTCACATTATTATCAAAAAAAGGATCCAGATGATGTTCACATGTGGGGAAGCGTTTCACTTCTAGTTGCAACGGATACAATATATATGAATAAAGGGATCGATCCTGGCCTAAGACTTCAGAGCCCTCTTCTTTATCCCGTCTTCTGCCACGAACTCTCACTGCATCTAAAATACAGACGTTTGGAGGTGAGATGTGAGACGTGAGGAGGTAGATTAACACACACACAGAAACAAGACCTCGACGAGGCCGCTGCACCAACCTGTCCCTGCTGGGGATTGGCCGGCTGGCCGGAGGGCTGCTGTCCTGTTTGTCCGTAGTACGCAGCCTGCTGCCTGTAGTACTCCGCCCAAGCTGCGCTGTAGTCCTGCTGGCCTCCTGTTGTGGATGCTGAACCTCCTCCTCCTCCTCCTCCTCCTCCTGCTGCTGCTCCTGGAGCTGCAGCTGCTGTACCGGGTATAGAGCCGCCTGCCTGGGCTGAGAAACAGAAACAGACATGAAAAATTTAATAACAACAACAAAATTACATAAATTACTACCTAACATATGCAACATACTCATACCCATCTTCTTGTAGTACTCCTCCCAGGCCTTGGTGTAGTCCGGCTGGCCCCCCGGTGTCTGTGCAGCCTGGGTCTGGTCACCTGCAGCTTGGGCACCTCCAGCCTGGTTTGCGGGGTACGGGGCTGGCGCAGCCCCCGATGGCTGCTGGTAGTACTGAGCGTAGTAGGCCGCCCAGGCTGCATTGGGGTCATTGGCTGCTGCCTTGCCTAGAAAAGACGCAGGGTGGAGGGGGTGAGGTCCTCATAGGGTGAGGGTGAGCCCCTGCTACTGGCCTGGAGACCGGGCTTGGAGACCAGGGGGAGGAAACAGAGACAGGGTTAGAGCCAGAGCTGCTACAGATAAAGACACCGCATCTCATCACATTTCCATCAGAACTCCTGCTGACCTTCTCAGATTAAAAAAAAAACAAGTATAGTGAGAAATAAGTGCGAGGGCTGAGCAGTAAACACTTAAAATCAGCAGAGGTGGTGAAGCCAGCAGTGACTCACTGGGGTCATGTGGTGGTTGAGGCTGCCACTGCTGGTAGGTGTTGCTCCAGCCCTGCGAGCTGTACTGGGGAGGACCTGGAGGACCACCACTGAGGAAAGAAGAAGCGCTTTCTTATTTAAAAAACCAAAAAAACCAAAAACATCTCAGGGTCGTCAGTTCTCTGAAATCTGCTTTAAAGCTGCAGCCACTCACTGTGGAGGTCCAGGAGCCCCAGGCGGTCCGGGGTTGTAGGGGTTTGGGCTGTAAGGAACCATTGGCCCAGCAGGACCTGGCCCAGCTGTCCCCGGGCCCACAGGACACAGTGGACCCTGAAACACATCACATGATGCCACATGCCGAGTGTTCTTCTTGATCGGTAACTTAAGAAATAATAATTAAGAATAATGATAATCTAGAATGACAAGCACCTCGATCTTCTCCTCAATGAGCTGCTTGGCGTGGTCGATCTGCTGCGGGGACCCACGAATGATAAAAAGCTTAAAGTTGGGGTCTCCGTTGGGGGGTGGCTGTCGAGAGATTTCCACGAATGCCCCCGTCTGCTGGTTGATGGACTTGACGTTCTCTCCTCCTCTGCCAATCACAAGCCCACACTTTTGGGCGGGAATAGAGAAGGTCATTTCCCCTCCGGGGGGACCCCAACCGCCTTGTCCCCCACCTCGCCCCCTATTGCCTGAAGGCATTCCTGGAGGACCTGGGGGACCCTGTGGACAATTATACCACATTACTTCACATATGCCCAGTACGTCACAGCCTCTGGTGATTTTGCCTCATCTGACTATGTTAAAAACACAACAACAAAAAAACAAGGCTAAGCACTTAATTTATCCAAATATTTATGGACGTTATGATGTGAGGCCTTCATCTATTGATTTATGATGTTTTAGAGTGTGACAGCTGATCCGTACCCCCTGTCCCTCCTCTCTGACCCGGATGCTCTGCAGCAGGTCGTTGATGATCTGAGCCGCGTGCTCGCAGCGTTCAGGCGGACCGCTGATGTGTGCGATCTTATCTGGACCGGTCCCGTCATCTGGAAGGGATTTAAAAGTGCATTAAGCGTTTGGGATTAACACTAAATGAAATCAATCAGGTCAGCTTCCAGCACCGGTCAAAGTGAGAATTAACAGCAGTCCGTAAATTAGGATCTCAAAAAAAGTGCAAAGTGGTAAAAAACAAAAGAAAACACGCTAAAGGGTCATGCCAGGTGACGTTCTGATGTGACCATTGTTCTTGTAACACTGGATCTATGCAGGGATCCTTCTTTATCTGATTTTCTTTTCAACATACAAGTCAAATCAATAGAAGAAGAAAAGGAGCCAATTTTACCAGCTCTACACAACAGCTTACGCAAAAGGCAATCACACTGCCTGAGTAAAAGATTCACCTGATACAAAGGGGAAAAGTACAGCAAATGCACAGGCTGTCAGGCTAGACAGCGAGTTTGTGACGCTTCATTTGTAGGCAAACTTTTACCCCCTCAAAAAATATCACTGCAATGGAGAAACCTGGTAATTATGTGTTTTAGGGCTTGTACTTCCAGGGGATTTGTGCCACCTAAAGACTCTCTGATGGATGGCAGTGCCAGCTGCCAGCATCTGTTCTGGTACTAATAACATTTATATTGATTTTACTAAATTTACTAAATTAAGTGGTGGCAGCTAAATGAGACCAAAACAGAGGAAAGCAGAACATCAGCAAATGGGAAAGACGTATAAATGAAGCCACAACGCCGTCGTCAGAGCGTCCCACCTTGTTTGAACTGTATCCTGACTCCGGCATCATTCTGAATTTTCTTGATCATCTCTCCATTGCGTCCAATGACCACACCCACCGAATGTCGTGGTACTGGGATCTAATATGACAAAAAAAAAAACAAAAAAAAAAAAAACCCACATCTATTGTTTCCTCTGTTTGTGATTTGGTTAAAAAAAAAAGTTTTTAAAAACCCTCTGCAGTCACTTCCAGTCTTGCTCCGACACACAAACTTACATCCATGCCGCCTCCCATTCGGGAGCTGAATTCGCTTCTTTCGCTGTAGCCGCCTTGGTCTCTGTCCCTCAGAATCTCCTGCACCATCTCCTGGGCTTGCTGAAAAACCATTAAGGATCAGGAAGCTCGGCACTATGCCACATTTACTTTGACACAATAACAGGACTTTAAAGTTGTACCTGGACTTTGTATGGGTCTCCAATAATGCGCAGAGGCTTGTCAACGTTGGGTCCCTGAGAGGCATCCTGGATTAGGATCATCTTGACCCCTGCACGCTCCTGCATCCAATAACACATAATGAAACATAATTATCAGCCATACGCACTTGAAAGTGTTTACCTACACTGGAGTTGCCTCCACTTAGGCTTTTACTGGCACACTAACAGGCTAATTTGGCTATTTTATATACAGTGAGCTTAATGTATAAGAATTATACTATCTATTATAAATTAGAAACAATAATGGCTTTAAAATGAATGTTGTGCTCCTCTTTAGTCCCACCCTTGCATGGTGCATGGATTGCTGCTATAAAGCATCAGGCTGACTGCTTTCAGTCTGCAGCAAAGCTCATGATCTTGCCCTGATCCAGTGTAAGACAAACCCAATTAAAAACCTCACATTCCTGCAGGATTAAATTAACTCAGACCTTTGCTGCTATTTTAATGTGAAAATACTGACTTTAAGAAAAAGGTTCAGATTTGGCCTAATCAACTCTGGTTGGGTCATGCTGACTTCTAAAAATGCTGAAGCAAAAAACATGAAACTTACCTGTAGCTGTTTGATGGTCTCTCCTCCCTTGCCGATGACTAGGCCGGCCTTGCCGGCTGGGATCATCATCTCATGAACTGCGCCGTTCTGCCCGTTGCTGGAGTCATGATAAGAAGAAAGAGGGGGAGTACCTCTTCCTCGGGAGACTATCTCATTTAGCAGCCTCTTGGCTTTCCTAACCAAGGGAGGAGCTGATTGGTTACTTCATTTAAGAAACACATCACTCTAGTGTTTAGAATTAAGCACCAGACCGTTAAAACGCTTCCACATAAAACCGCAATGAGTGTATTTGTATGACGTCTAAAACTCACTGTATGGAGTCTTGTGTCCCTGTGAGGGAGACGTTTCTCTCTGGAAGACCTCCACTGTCTGCACAAACAGAAAATGTACATATTTAACAAACTGAGCATAAAAATAATAATAATCAGTAGAAGTTTACACACACTCATCCTGGGCATGAATGTCATGGTAATTTCAGGCTTTCAATCATTTCTTTGAACTGTTCTTTATCCAGGGTGGTTAGTGACTGTACAGCATACACCTTTAATGACTTAAAAATATATAGTTTCAATATTTTTTCGATTTTCTACAATCCACACAGTCTCAAAAGTATAGATAAAGTTAAATGTCTGTTAGTGAGTTGTACCTTAACCGGATGCTTTTGGTAGTCATCAAACAACTTCTGGCAAAATTACAGCTGGATATCTGACCACGCTTCCTGACAGAATTGTGGTGGGACACCCAACTGTGTCGGAGTTTCACTTATCTAGCTGTTGATTTGAGGTGAAGTTGAAGAATTTGGAGAGAGTCCTCCTTCCTCATTATTCCAACTTCTTTGTGCAATGTACCAGTACCACTGGCAGCTAAACAGTCTCAGAGCATGATACTACCACCACCATGCTTGACATTACAGCATTAGATACAGTGTTCTTAGGTGCCTTTACTCCTCCAAAGTAGTAAAGGAGAGGCCTCTTGTGGGAAGCGTGACCATAAAGCTTTTCTCCAGAAGTCATTCAGCTTGTCCATGTGTGGAAATTTGAGTAAAGCCTGAAGGTGTCCACTTTGGAGCAGGGGCTTCTTTCTTGGTCGGCACCCTCTCAGACTACGTCCACACTAGCCCGGATAGATTTGAAAACGTCGTTTTAGAAAGTCTGCGTTTTTGAGTCTCAGTCTCAGTGTTGACGGGAGGCCAAAACGGAGAGAAAACGATGCATTTTCAAATGAAAACGCATGAGTGTGGACGTAGCCTCAGTTCATGATGATGTAAAGCTTGTTTCACTGTGGCAGTGACACTGGTGTTCCAGCAGTCTTTTATGGCAGGCTTGAGTCTTGGTGGTTCCTGGGTTGTTCCTAAACATCTTAACCAGTTGCTTTTAAACTGAGGGTGACCGCTGGGGTCTTCTTCAGATCTTGGCAAAGTGGTGACATATCTGAAAAACTTTACTTCAGATATTTTTTGTTTGAATCCATGATTGTGATATCTGCAGTTGTTTAGAAATGGCTCCAAGAGACTCACCCACCTTGTGTAAATCTACAATTCTCCTTCTTAGATCTTCACTAAATGCCTTTCAGTGAAGAACAGCATTAAGTGAGCGTATGTAAAGGTTTGACCCTATGTGGATTAGAGAAAATCCAAAATAAACCCAAACTTGTACACTAAATTCTTGTTTTATAAAGTAATTAAAGATGCATGCTGTACAATCATTTCACCCTGAAAAAAGAAAACCCCAAATTACACTGACATTCACGCCCAGGATGAGTATCTGTAGACGACGAGTGCAACCAGTACCTGGAGCTATCTGAACCTTGCAACCCGACTCTTGCTGAATCTTATTGATCTGTTCACCTCCACGGCCAATAACTGAAGAGAGAAGGTGGGGTTTAAAAAAAAGTGTGGTATACAGTACGTGTTAAAATAAAGCTGGGCTACACTCACTGAGTCCCACCATACTGTCTGGAACACTGTACTCCTCTGTGGTGGAGGTGGGTCTGATGCCATGATCACAGGAGGGATACAAAGGTGGGGGGGGAAAAAGCAATAAATCAGACAATAGCAAAGTCAGATTAATACACAGTCACCTGAGAGGTACGAGATCTCACCTTTGCTGTGCAAGAGCAGCTAGCTGTGCACCAATAGCTGAGTGAGAAAACAAGGCAGGGGAGAGGTTTAGGATTACCAACGGACTAATGTGGAGGACGCAGACACCCACTGTTGACTGTAGGTCACAAATAACAATGCATGCAACAGTAAGATGAACTCACACAGCGCTTTGGCTGACTCCAAGTCACTCTGAGCAGCCAGCTTCTTAGTCTCTGGCTCATCTGTCAGAGGAGGAAATGAAATGAATGTTCATAGGAGACTCCCTGGAACTAAAATAATCACAAAGCGAAATAAAGGTGCAGTCACCAGTATTTGTGTCCTCTAGCTGTCGTTTCTGCGCAGTGAAGGGAAAACTATCTGGAGCAGTGCTGTTGTTCACAGGAGGACCAGCGTCGCCCCCGATCTTAGCTGCGATCTGAAACACAAGCAGAAGATTTGCCAGATAGTTCACTGTAGTACAGCAGATCTACAGTATTACTGCTTTTTACACATTTTTCTGATTTCCCCCCAAGCTCCCTCCTTGGGGTTAACCCACCCCACCCACGGAAATCCTGGGAATGCCTCTGGCAAGACTGTAGTTTATTTTATGGATCAGATCCACCATTTTTTTAATGAGCTATGTGATGGATACTGATGTGTTTTCTATTCTTTGGCCTTGAGGCTGCAGCACACACCTGAATTATCCTGAAACACCTTTATATCAACTACTAACATTCATAATGTAGCTCAGCGCAGAGGAAGAAGCTGGTAGTGAAGTGGAGATAATAATGTTCTCTGAAGGTTTTCAGTGTTGTCACACTGGATATTTGGTGGGACGCTGAAACTGTCCGGCCTCAGTGACAGTTAAAGCTAACGCTGACGCTGACATGTGATGGATGAAGCGGCAGAGGTGTGCCTGACTGTAGACACATTCACCATGAAGTGTTTGAATGTCAAATTTAACCTGGTCTCAGGTGTGTCCGCCTTCATACATGCTAGCTTCTTAGCTGTCTGTCTCATCCCTGCCTCACCTGCCGGGCCCGCTGCACCGCGTCCGCAAACGCATCCTTCTTGGCGCCCCCCGCTCCGTTCCCCACAGCCGCCTGTCCGGGCAGAGGAGCCCCGGGGACGGGCGGAGGTACCGCGTTGTACTCCGACATGGTATCCAGAAAAGACCGAAGAGGAGAGAGAAGCAGAAAGCCGGGATCAGAGCTACGCAGGAGTGGGATGGGAAATCAAGAAAGTGACGGGAAGGATACCGCCGGTTGGAGACACGACGGAGGCCGGCGAGGATCATTCGCAATTTTATTGTTGTTTTGGTGGTAGCTGATTTATTATCATACAAAACATGATCAAAGCTCATATGCAGGATGTAAAAGAGACTTTTTATTTTAAAAAAAATAGTTGTGCTTGAGCGATTTAACAGCCTATCCAAAGCCCAATAACTTATGTTTTTTAAATAGATTTTGTATTATGAACAAAAAATATAAAAAGGAAAAGTAACCGAACTTTAATTGTGGTGGGATACAGGTGCAATATAGCAGAAATGAACTACTTTGGTCCAGCACTACAGTAAACATGGTTTAGGTATTTTCCACCTCCGTCCCAAGTTGCATCTTCCCAGTAAGATGACTCTTGCTTAAAAATATAAAACTGCAGTCGACCTTTCAATCTGTTTTCTGAGTAAGGTTTGAGCCAAATCATGAAACACTTGAAATGCAATTATCGTAATAAACTCAGCAACCATTTCAGATTTTTTAAAATCAGCTGTGATTCTTATGGTGCATCTAATATCAGCTGTACTTGTACTCCAAGTTTCTAGTATCGGAGAGACTTGGGCTATATGGACTTTGAATCAACACTGGGACAAATATTTTGTCATGTATTCAAGTAACTGTGAGTGGAGCTGTGGAACACGCAAGATTTCTTTGATGGCTTGTCGATTTCTAACATATCAATGACACCGTAAATTTGTAGTTTAAAAAAAATGCATTGTATTAGTTGCATCTTTAAAATATGTTTATCAAAATGTGTAATTCTAATGATTATTTAAACATAATTTTATGCAGTAAAATGTATGGAAATTAAATTAGGGCATTAACAGAAGGAAGTAAGTTTTTTACACTGCAGCATTTTGCAGTAATTTCTTTTCTTAGAGTGAAAGTACTGGGTTGCAAAATTATTACAGTCTACATTTCAAAGTTGTTGTTTTTTATCACAAGCAAAATACAGAAAACAGTCAAACATAAAATCTTTATTGAATTCTTAACGCTGAACCATTTAATGTAGAACCAGGGGCAAATATAAGGTTTGGGCTAGGGTGGCATCAGCCGTTTTGACAACGAGAATCTGCTAACTATATTAAAACCAACTGAAGGTTGCATAGCTTATTACATAAAAAAATAACCTATTTTTAAAAAATCAGGATCTTAGTACCTCTGTTTCAATCTAGTTTTTTTTAGTTTGCTTAGCAAGTTCCTGCATTTGAGTTTTTATAGAGTTTTTCTTCTAATGAATAACTATCTTGTCCGTTGTGGGAATTTTTGGTTAATCATTTTCATCAGGCAGAGGACTTTCATCCACATGACTGGCTGAGGCGCTCATGCTGCCAATCCCCGAGGTGAAATCAGAGTTTCCAGCTCTGGTCTTCAGCCATTCAGACACTTTGGCACGTGTTCTTTGATTCCAAAGTTCTGACATGTTCCCAAACTCGGAGGGAGCGTCTCCGCTCACTGAAACAGAAATTGAATGCTATTTGATATCATACCCACAAGTAAAAATACAAAACAAATTCAGTTTTCTCTAATTAATATCAACTCACTGCTTGGAATGAAAACTCCATCCAAGCTGGCTCCTCGCTTCACAAATGGTTGTGTTGGCTCTTCTGGTTCATTTACAACAGCTGTCAACATTCGGTCTATCAGCTCTTGCTCCCTCCTGTTCCACTCTTCTTCTGTCAGCACAGACTGTCTTGATCGCCAGGGCAGTTTGTGTTTTTTCCCTTGTTTGCTTTCAGCAGTGAAGCATTGTTCCTTGTTCCGTGTGATCAAATCAATTATTTTTTGGAAGAGCAGTTTGACAGGAAAATGATAACCCAAACCATGGCAGTTGAGGACATGGTATCTGTACCCACACTTTTCCACCAGCCACTGGAGGCTTTTCCCCTCTCCTGCAATGTGCTCCTCAATGAGTCTGTCATTCAGCCAGTCTCCCCAGGTGAACAACACTATGCAATGTCTCCACACTCTCTCTCCAAAGGGCATCAAAAGCTCAACCAGTGCTTTGTGGTCTTCCTCTGTGAATGCTTTGGAAATGGGAACAACCAAGAGAAAAACATGAGGGCCTGGAGCGCACATGGAGACGCTGCGGAGAACTTCTTCTTTTAGCCAGACAGGAGCCGTCGTGTCAGCAGGCCAGCCTGGAGTCTCAACGACTGCAACATTTATTCCACCTAAATTTCCTTCATGCTTTACACACTTTTCTGTTCTTCTCCGGTCCTCGAATTCCTGCACAATTTTTTTTAATTTAACAATTGTTACAGATCTGATAAATTAAATTAAATCTTATCCTTTCTATATCACATTTCAATTCAGGCAGCATATTGGGTTACCTTTTTCAACAAACTTCTCTCAAATATCGTTTTGAAAAAGATTTTGTTTCCTGCCATACTCTTCCCAGATTCCTCTCTGCCAAGCAGTACAATCCTCAGGTCAGTGATTGTCAGCCTCTCTCCTGTAAAAAAGTAAAGTTTAAACTGAAAGAGTGACTAAAATAATGCCATAATTATTTGATGATTTCTTGATTACCTTCAAATAACTTTCCCAGTATTCTTGATTGTCTTTCAGTGGTCTTTCTGATCCTTCTAGCTAATTTTCCTTCAGCCTCTTTTCTGGCCTCCAGCTGTGCCTCACGATCCAGATCAACTTCATAATGTGAGTTTTCATTTCCTGCCCACATCTCTTCAATCTTCTCCAGGAGATCTTGTACCTGCATCTCATCATTATCCTTCATGTTGTCCAGGACGTGGTACCTGTTCCCACACTGCTTCATCAGCCACTGCAGACCTTCCTCACTCTCTATACGCTCTTCCACAGTCTTCACTCCCAGCCAATCACCTCTAGTGAACAGAACAATGGTGTGCTTCCAGACATCATCCCTAAACAGACTCATGTGCTCCTGGACTGCTCTGTGGAAGGATGTATTAAATGCAGATGCCAGGCCGACCACGAGGAGCACTGCGTGGGGTCCTGGAGTGCACATGTACACACTGTTCTCTATTTCATGTTTATCTGTCTCAGAGGTGTCCTGAAGGGTGTGGTTATAGAACCAGCCAGGAGAATCCACCACTGCGAGTGTCCTTTCTCCCAGAACGCCGTGATTAATTTCACAGGACATCGTTGTTCTTCTGTGATGAACAGCAAAAGCCTTTTTCCTCAGAATGGTGTTTCCAGCTGAGCTCTTGGCTGACCACTGAGCACCAACCATCACTAGTCTTAAATGTGCTGGTGGGGTTTTACCACCTGCAGAATCGGAAGGTAAACTAATCAGTAGTTTCAATGTAGTTTCATGCATCAAATTACATTTGATGGTTAGATAATGATGTGTGTCACATAGTTTATCAAGAGAGCTCCTCTTACTGCGAAAGCCATATTTGGCTGTGAGACATGACATCTACAAGGCAAATGGTTGTAGTTCATCTACAGTTTATAGTTACAGCACAATTTTATATTCGTCATGTGATCACTGCGTTTAGCACATTAAAATATCTTTGTAAGATCTTGACTTAGTATAAGTACAAATATTTTCTTTGACATTTTACTTTGGAGCTTTATTAGCATTATTTATGTTTAAGAAATTGTTTTACAAAACTCTGTGATTCTGTGTTTGATCACAAACATCTGGATTCACCCATTTATTTCAAATTTATCCTCTTCTTTCTATCATGGTGGGTATTTTGTAAAATGTGAGGCCGTACCTTCAATTAGTGCTCTGAATTTCCTTCTGTGTGTCTGCACCTCATCAAACCTCTTAGATGCTCTGTCACTTATTGCTTTCATTTCCTCCCTCACAGCGTTTCCATGAGCACGATCAATGGGATAGTGACGACCTCCATTTGCAGCGACTATTGCCTCGATTTTCTCAAAAAGCTTTTCAACTTGACTGCTGTCCTCCCTGTTACTCACACAGAGGACATGTTTTCTATTTCCACATTGCTCAAGAATCCACTGCATTTCTGACCACTCACTGATTGTAGTTTCTACATTTTTTTCATCCCATGGATCTTCAGCAGTGAACAGTACGATGGTGTGATTCAAGACATCCCTGTGGAAAAGTTTCAGGTGCTCGTTTAAAGATGATATGAAGATCTGGGGCAAAAAAAAGCTATGATGAAAGACCAGAAGAAAGGCGTGAGGTCCTGGGGGACACAGATGGACGCTGTTCTGGATTTCTATCTGATCCAGCTTTGGGGTGTTTTCTAGTGGATAGTGCCACCACCAGCCTGGAGTGTCCACCACAGTGACCCGTCTGCCATGCACCTCCTGCTGCCCCGCCACACTCTGGGCAGTTCTGCTGCTGGTGTCAAAAACATTTTGACCCAGTATGATGTTACCGCTCAGACTCTTATTACTGGGCTCTCCTGTTAACTCTCTGCCACCTATCAGCACGATCCTCAACTCTGGAGAGTCGTGACTGTGCCCTGCAACACAGATGCAGCACTGTTTATACGAGTGGTATATAACTTTAAAAGTTTAATTATTGTTAGCAATCACGAAATTATTCGTTAGTTAGAAAAAGAAAGATCATTATATTCTGCATGTATTTTGTCAAGACATGGACGTGCCCTTAAACACAAACAGGAAGTATCACATAAACAGTCATCAGATCATGTTTCCATCAGACAGCTCAGTGTGATATGGATCGGTACAACATTTCATCCTGTCTATTTGAATTTGCCCTTAAATTCAAAGCCAAACTATAATAACAGCTTTAGGCACAAGTACTACAGCTACATCTCTCTATGCAGCTTTGCTGACATAGATTTGTTGTGTGTGATCACACTGAGAGATGAGTGTGATCACACTCTAAACAGTCGTACTTTATCAACAAATAATCAACAAGTAGCAAAAATCAAACCTATATTCTGTTACAATGACATAAGACGACTCACCGAGGCTAGAAACAGCATGTTTATCAGCCATTGTTTTAAACAAAGCTATTTCTGATTCAAACGATGACTAAAGTGACAACTATACAAGTAGGAACTCTTCACAAAATAAGGTGTGGCATGTACTTTGAACTGTTGTCTCTTTTTTTACTCCCTGGCTGCAGTTAGGTGCATCATTTGTTTAACTGTTTAGGGATTGCAGACACTGACTGATAAGTAGTTTCATTGCTGGGTAACGCTCATTCCCTTGTTATTTCATGACAAAAATAGGGCGATCGTGGCTCAAGAGATGGCAGTTCATCTTGTAATCGGAAGGTTGCCGGTTCGAGCCCTGGCTTTGACAGTCTCTGTCATTGTGTCCTTGGGCAAGACACTTCACCCGTTGCCTACTGGTGGTGGTCAGAGGGCCCGGTGGCGCCAG